GCTCTGTGGGTGCACACACAGAGTAAAGTAAGCTTGTTCCCCGTATTATCAAATTTAATCATTAACTTAAACCAAACACCCGTTTCCCTTTGTTTTAGAAGTGAAATGAACTGAATTGGTAATCAACTCACGCATCTCAAATAAGTAAGTTGTTTGGATTTCTCACCGGTAAAATGGTTTCCCCCGCAAATCTATAGGACCCAAACTTTGGCATGGCAACAGGGGCTGGCTTTGTAGTGCCTGTTTCCGGATTGCGCACGCGTGGATTGTACGAAAAATCCCATTAAAAGAGGGTAGTATTTGATTAAACAACAGTTATGTACATAAAAGGAGTATGATATTTTATTTTGGATAATATGTTCATTGTTTAATTGTGTATTTGATGTAGAAATGTTTATATCAGAATTCTGATTATTATTTTGTCAATTAATTTTTTGTGCTTTATAGGAATATTCTAGGGGGAGGAGTTTAACTTAGAAAAGGAGCTCTTCAAGATAGAAGTGGGGGAGTTAGGAGAAAGTGGATTGTGGGGGTAGAATTGGAGCTGCCTGCAACAATCTAGTGGGTTTTTTTTGTACAGTAATTAATGTATATATTTCATATTATAGCTTTGTGTTGTTTTTTTTCTGGTTAGTTTGTGGTTTTCACTTTGGTAACGTAGTTCCTCATAATAAACACCATTGCACATCTTTGCAATTGTGGCTGTGCCATTGTTATTGTTATCTTCTATCTACACCTCTAAACTCTGCAAGGAGGAGACCATGACACATACCTAAATTTTTATTGTACTTCACAGAAGGCCTCCTTAAATTCATTCATATGCAAGATTAGATATTTATTTTGAGTAATTCAAGATATAACATAGATGTATCTTTTACCACAAGTCTTTACTGCAGTGGCTATTTACCTTTCTTTTTAAGTATTAAAAACAATACTAACTCAATTTTAAATATATAAAATATACATGATTCATATATCATTTAAAATACATTAAAATACACATACCTTAGAGAGAGAGAGCTGCTTCATAATAGATAAATTCTTAAAGTATGCACTATATTGTCTTATAAATCCAAATGTGCAATAACTGTAAACTATTCTGTATGATTAATGTTAGAAAAAATAATGTAATACTGCACCAGTATATAATTACATTAATTATGGATGGTATATTTAGTAAAAGTGTTTTTAAAAGCTTTTTGAATTATCTTAATTTTCTCTTAATTTTCATCCTTTAACAGTTTATTAACCAACTTTGATAACATGAGCAAAGCTTACATTAGCCTTGCTTAGTTTTCACCTTTTATCTACAGACAGTTTTGAGTTCTGACACTATACATTGTACACACAGTATGCATTTATCCAGTCTCTGTCCTTTTAAACTTAAGACAACCACCAAAAGTTGCGAATCCAGAAAAAAAAGTACATACAGACAAAACTAGACTGTAGCACCACGTTCCCACATTAACCATTATCTTCACTTTCAAACACAGGAGGAAATCATCTCAATCTTTAAAGTAACAAGTAAAAGGAAGAGCAATATATCAGAGAATTTCTGAGAATTCAAAGTATCATGCTTCTTGTCAATCTGAACTTTGAAAAAAAAATAATAATAATAATTGCTTACACTTATATAGCGCTTTTCTGGACACTCCACTCAAAGCGCTTTACAGGT